CCCCAAGCCCCTCTGAGTGAAGCCCCAACCTGGTGAACTGGGCTGGACCACTAGAGTGGGAGGCCTCCCTGTATGTGTGTAAAGCCAGGCCAAGATCAATGAGGAGTTACAACAGTCCATGTATGAGCTCAAAAGACAACACCAACAGTCTGCCTCCACCTCCCGGGGCATCTGGGGGAGGGCTTGGTTCTCAGGCTCACACTTGAACCTCAGCCTTCTTCATCCATGTTCCATTTCCTATGAAATACTCAGATTCTCAAGCTCTACCCAATCAGACTCTCTCGGGCCAGGGCCCAGGAATTTGCATTTGCACCCAGGGCAAACACCTTGGTGGTTCTTACGTGCACTAAGGTTGAGAACCTGCTGCTCCAGACCTTGCCACTTGGACAGGGAGGGTTGAATCAGGGGAGAAAGGAACAGAATAAACATCAAAGCCACACTTGGCCTGGGCCCCCTCACCCTCTGGCTCCATCCTCCTCTTCTGGACCCCATGGCGCCAAGGCTCATGAGATTCTTGCAGTTTCTTGAGATTAAGCTCAGGCCTTGGGGCCTTTGTACTGGCTGCCCCTGCTGTCTGAAAATATTAGCTCCCAGATAGCCCCATGACTACTACCTTCTCTTCTTTAAGTCTCGACTGAAATACTACTCTCTCAGTGAGGCCTACCCTGGCCCCTTTTAAAAAATCAAAACCTGAGGACTATTCATCTTCCCTAAAGTCACAAGCTTGATCCCCTTGCCCTGCTCGGTGGGGATCTTGGTTTTGTTCCCTGATGTCTCCCAAGTATCTACACCGTGTCTGGCATATAGCAGGTAACGGACACACACGCACCGAGGAGAGACCCTCCGTAAGGCCTGGTGGGGAGCTGGCTTCAGCCAACCACCAGACTGGTGGGAGGGGCTGCATTCTGGATACTCCCCCTGGGGACACATTGTTGTATCCTCTTGTCTCTAAAGGATCTTCCCATGCTCTGCCCTGTTCCCCTAACAACCCCGAGCCTTTCTGCCTTCTCCTCAGCTTGGAGTTGGAGTCTGCTCACATCAGCTCATGAGGGCTGATCTTCCCGACTTCAGTGTTTAGTAAGTCGGGTACCAAGGCTTGGTTGGGTACCAAGGCTGCAGAAATCAGCAAATGCTGCAAACCAGGGCTTTTATCACCCCCTTCCGATAAACCCTCAAGGCCAGATAACTGGTTGTTAAACATTTACCAGCACACTGCTGATCTGGGTTCAAATAAACCATATTCCCTGAAACCGCAGGCCCCTTGCACTCAGGTCTGGGCTTTGTGCTTGTGGTCCCCAAACCAGGCGTCAGCCCCGGAGCACAAGGCAAGGGCTCCAGAAATGAGTGCATCCCGCATTCTGCTGCTTATTAACTATGTACTGGGAGCCACAGTTTGACCACAGCTGCCTTATGTGTAGAGCAGAGACAAGGCTGACGCTGTCACAGGCTGTCACTGTCACAGGCTGTGTGTCAGTGACATGCTGTCTCTCTGAGCTTGAGGGGGGCTGCAGAGCTTCTGACAAAGGCCACGGGGCTTCACCCTTCCCAGGTTCCAGAGAGGAGGTAGCTGGCTCACAGGCCACCGTCCCTCTGTGTGGCTGGCAGCCTTCTACTCTCCCATGTGCCTGGGGACTGCAGTGCTCCTGTCCCTTGCTTTGGTTTCTCACCTTCCTGGCCTCCTTCCAGCATGCCAGCCTCCCAGGGGGCTGACTGTGACCTCCATTCCAGGACATAAGTGATGGGTACACACACCCAGGCTCAGCCCAGCCGGTTCCAGCTGGGACTTCGCAGTCTCCAGGGACAGCCACCTCATGCTTCAGCACCTGAGGCCAGGGGCCCCTGGGCTTCCCAATTCTCATTTATATTCTCAATATAAATGACCCCTGAACTGCCCCCTGACTCTGGCCATGAGGTTCCCTCCGTGTCCCTGGAGATCTTGTCGCCTTTAAATGACTATTTCTTTCACCTGGTCCTTTCTCTCAGGGTCCCTCCTGTTTGCTGAGGCCCCTCCCTGCTACCTGGTCCAGCTTCTCTGAGGCAGACCCTGCATCCCTTCCCTCCACGGCCTGGCTCAGTCCCCTGTGTCCAACCCTCAGCCTCCTTCCATGGTCCCACATCCACGATCTGCTGGCCAGCATGGGTGTTGCCCAGTAAATAATTTCCTCATTTATGAAAAGAAAAGTTTAAGAGTACACTGACTCTCTCAGCGTGGGCTCCAGGGATTCCTTCATCACAGTTAATTCATGCCTACCCACTGGGGAAGATGGCCATTCCTGCTCCCACCGGTTGGGAGCTCCCTAGGCTGGGAGAACTGTGCAAGGAAGGGCTTTGCTTCCTGGACCTGTGTAATCCAGCTGCTCTTTCTGGGTTCTGGCCCCAGATCCTCTGCTCTGCTCTGTGGCCAGCCCAGGAAAGATGATCTAGTCTTCCAGCCTGGCCGTGTTGCCCACCTCAGAGCACATCCAGAAACCCTCTCCCCAGACCCACCTTGGCCCTGAGGAAGGCCAGAGCTCGGCTGCTGTTCTCCAGGAAGTGCACACGCATGCGGCCCCGGCTGGGGGGTGGCAGGGCCTCCCCTGAGATGAGCTCCAGCAGCCGCAGCAGGTGGGTGCCATCGGCCAGCTCTGTGAACAGGTTCTGGATCTTGATTCCCACCTGGAAGGGGATGGGGCAGGCCTGTGGTCAGCCCAGCCTCACCTGTCTGCCCTGTCCCAGGACCTGTGTGGTGCAGCCCAGAGCATCTGCTCTGAGGAAGGACCACTGGCCTCATCTGTGCCTTGGGGTCAAAAGAAGAGGCCTCAGTCAGATGACCTTACAGTCAGCGCCCCAGTGTCCACTGTCCAAGGAGCTGGGGGGACGGCAGAGGTGGGCTGGGAGGCACGCCCAGCTACACTCACCCGGCCATGCTGGAAGATATTGTTGATCCACTTGGTGAAAGTCTTCTCCTGCATCCGCATGTGCCGTGCCTGCAGCTTGCGAATGTGGCCCATCTCATATGCAGAGTCCATGGTGGGACTGGACTGGGAGAGCCGCCCCAGGGCTCTGCCTCTGGCCGCCTGCTTCAGGTACCCTGTAGCCCCAAGGAACTGCTGGGGCCTGTGGGGCTGACCAGCCATCAGACCTGGAGCCCTTTGGTGTTGAGGGACCACTAGACATTTCCCAAGCTGATGTTGGGGGCGTGGAGGTTGGGGGAGGAGTGGAGATACTGATGACTCCCTGGGAGAGGCGTGTCTCTGCCAGGGGTGATGGGCCCTTCCCTGTCAGACTGTCCCCACATTTGGTGGGGGGTTGCAGCCTGGAGCCTAGCCAAGTAAGGTCTGGTGCTCCTGGCTGGTGCCCTGTACTCGAATGGCCCAGGACCCCTTTTGTCCCACCCCACTTTCCGGATTCTTCTTTGAGAGTTCCTGCTGCCAGAGGTTTCCCCAGGACCCCAGCATTTGGCTGCTGCTCTTTGGGATGAATAGGGCAGGTGGAAGGAAAAGAGGAAACTGCTTACCTTGGTGATGTCCAGGCCCTGGGAGGAGAGCCGGCTGGATGGTTGGAGATGGCAGATAGCAGGGGCTGGGTGGGGAGGGACAGAAATCAGGAGAGGCTGAGGCTGGAGCTGGGGCAGCGCCATGGCCCTCCTCCTGAGCCAGCAGGGCAGGGGTGACACACAGCCGGCATTGTCCTCCCACCTGCCATGAGGCGTGGCCCAGACTGGGAGAGGGTGGCTCAAGAATGCTCCAGATCAATGTTCCAGGGTCTCCTCCTTCATCATCCTCCACTGCAAGTGCTCCTAGCATTAGGTGGGGGTCCTGGTTCCCAGACACAGAGGCCCATGGGATGGTCTCCCGTGGCTCTGGGTGGGAGCACCATGGGGGCGCTGCAGTCTGGGTACAAGGCACTGCAGGGTAGAGCCTCTGGTCTGAGCTTCTGCACCCACTTCTTAGGTTGGGGGTGCCCTTCTGCACCCCTGCAAGGCCTCTTTGTAATCCCCACAGGGGTGGGAATGGCGGTGAGCCCACTGGGCTGTAGCCTTTGCATCCTCTCCAGGGAGATGCACCACAGACCCAGGGAACCATCGGACCAGGGCTGGGCTTTCCAGGCCCTGATGGAGATGCACCCAACCTAGCCTTCATGTCTGGTGCGCCTTCATGCATGGGCCACTTTCTGAAGGAGACTCTTCCTGGAAAGGGGTCACCTGGAGTTACAGAGTCCATGGAAATGACAGAGTCTCCTCCAGAATGAGAGACACAATGTTCACTCTTTAGGGCCACAGCGAGGCCTAATCACCTGTGCTCCCTCAGGGCTGGCTGGGCCCAGGGCTTGGAGGCAGAGGCTGTGGGGGGCACCTAGCAGGCCCCTCTCTCTCCCTCCCTGCAACCTTGGAGCACATGCCAGAGGGAGAGTGAGTTTTAATTCAGGTGGCTTCACAGAACAACCTGACTAAGCTCAGGGTTACTGTCACTGGGCTGGGACGTGTGTCTGTGGGTTCATCCACTCGGCAGCCCCAGCAACACTTCTCAGGGAGGTGTCCCTGACAGCCGAGGCTGGCAAGAGGGGCAGCGACCAGAGCCTGCCCTCGAGAGTTGGGCAAGACCCATCACCCCTGAACCACGGCCATGGCTGGAAGTGAGAAGTGCAGTGCTCTTTGCCCAGGGCATCACGTGTGATGTGACCACCAGAGAGGATGGAGCTGCATGACGCTTTGCACACAGATCTCAACAGAAGTGGTTGTATTTGAGGTTGTTGAGTGGTGCTGGGGAACTGCTCTTCTTCCTCCCTAGATCAACTGCAGTAAAGCCACTGCACATGCTGCCAGGACTGGCTCATCTTTTGTAGTGACTAATTGTAGCCCCTGCTGAAATGAGAACCCCTATTGGTCAGTACAGTTTTGGAATATGTGTTGCAAGTAACTGAAATCTCAAGTCAAACGGGTTTAAACAATATAAAGGGAACATTTTGGCACACATAATGGAAAAGTCTGGCAGGAGGAGGACTTTAGGTGAGGTTTGATCCAGCAGCTGAAATGATGCCATCACAGGCTTGGACTCCCTTTGCCTTTCTCAATGCCTCCTTCATCTTTATCCTCCACGGCTCCACAAGGTGGTTGCTGCCAGCCTAACCTCACTCCTTTTCCCCCACCACCTCTAGGCACTTCTCTTAATGTTATTTATATTGTTGCCTCAATAGGCTCACTTCTTTGCACTGCATGGTTCAGAAAAAAGAGAACATATCTCCCAGGAGTTGGAACAGAAGTCTGAGCGGCCTGGCTCTCATAGCCAAAAGTCCATTGCTGAGTAATTTCTGTGAGGGGGGGGATGAACTACTCTAACTGGCTCAAGCCAATCAGAAGCCATCCTGGAAAGAGTGGGTGGAGTCTATCTCCCCAAACCTCATGGCTCAGACTGAGGGTGGGAAAGTGGGGAGTGTTCTGCAAAAGACATTCCTGGTCTAGATCACCAGAAGGGTGGATGGTGCCGGAGGAAACCCCAGATGTCTACTATGGGTGGTCCACACCTGTGAGGTGCGGCAAGAGGCAGGAGCAGGGCCGGCCAGCCAGGGGCTGACCCCAAGCACTACTGTACCCTCAGGTGCTCAGGCCCGCTTCAGCACTGGACAGAGGCCACCTCCTGTGATGTCCTGTCCCCAGCCTCGGAAGGGTCTCTTCATGGTCCCCTCCAGTCTTGTCTTCTAGTCACTCTCAGTTGGGGCATGAGACTCCCTTGGGGCCTGCTCCCAGACCTGGCCTCTGCCCCCAGAGATGGAGCTGCTTTCCTGCTGAGGAAGCCTCAGTTTGAGAATCTCCCAACCAGAGAGGATGCAGGAAGGGTTGGGGGTCACAAGGATGGCATGCAAAAGGGCACACCCTCCCCCAACTCCTCTGCCTTGTTTCAGATGGATCCAAGGGATCCCTGCTTCATTCCCAAGATAGCTGACACACAGTCACTGGGAAAGCAGAGCCAGTGGGGAAAAGGTAATGATTTTTTTCAGAAGTTTATTATCAGTAGATTTTTTTGTCTGACACTCCTAAACAAGATTACAAAAAAATAGAAGCATTGTATATTAATTGCATTGGCTAATCGACAGGTCACTTGGTACACTCTTAAATTCGGCTATGTTTACCAAAAAAACCCAGTGGTTATCTGTCCTAAAAGTGTTATTCTTCTGCCACATTCCATGGAGGAAGTAAACAGTGCCTCAGTTAAATGCTTTCCTTATCTCCAAGGCAATCTGTCCAGGGTATTGCTCTGGGCATCAGGAAGGAGTGTAGCTGCTAAGTGGAAAGGTTCCGGCGGTGGCTGTCGGGTCATGACTCCGGTGGTTAAACCCCATGCTGGGCGGCAGACTCCAGCACAAGACATTCCTGGTGTGGTGAAGGGACGCAGCAGACACAGTGAAGGACCACGGCCTGGGCTTGGGTGAGGCCTCTCCTGCAGGCTGGTAATGGGGGTGGTTGGTGGGGGAGAGCAGGGGCGTTTGGCTTCTCATGTGCTCTCTAAACCCCCTGGACACCAGTCCCATGACAATAGTGTAAGAATCCAACTCTTAAGGCCCACTTTCCTGTGGGAGGAGCCACAGCCCCCAATCCAGGAGTTACTGCTGCATGACAACAAGTGTTCCAGAGAACCCAGTCCAGTCCTGGAGAAGCCAAAGCCAACCAAATGCATGACCCTCCCATGTTAGAGCACCCCTGCCCCGGGTCACCCAAGCCCGCGGCGAGGAAAGAATCCATGTATGATGCCAAGCAGGTTGAATGTCAGCATGTGGCTGTAGAGCTGGGGGGGCGGTGTCTCGGCAGGTGTCAGCGCAACTCTTCTGTACATGAAGGTTCAGGTGGGCATTATGAGCAGGCTCACAACTTGGAAGTCAACTTTTGGAGGAGTAGCAGAAGTTTTCATTTTCCCCCCCTGAACTTAAGAATGCAGAGGTTTGTGTTATGTGCTATCATGTGCTGTACAGCAAATGGACTCAAGATTCTTAGGTTTTCTTCTGTGGAATCACGGAGAGCACGAAGGTAGTTTCCGAGTTCTAGAGTTTACCTACCTCCACCCTCCCACCCATCTGCGAGCACGCTGTCGGGGGCACTGGGACAATGGGGTGGTGCAGGAGGGCAATGTGGCCGGTCAGAGTGCAGATCCTGAGGGCTTCGTGTTTGTCACCCTGCTATGTGAGGTCAGGGGACAAGGGTGTTTTGAACACAGATTCAAGGAACACTGTGCAGGTCCTGGGGAGATATGGGTCCTTGGTTGGCCACCGTCCCAAATGTTTTCCAGTGGTCTTCTTTCCAATCAACTTTTCATAATGGATAACTTCATGTTTTAAGAGATGATATTAAGACAAAAGGACATGTGATTTCCTTTTTCTTCCTTATTTCTCAGCAGGGAAAGCATTCACAAAGATGTTCTCCCACCTGAGGGCATGGTGGGCAGGGATCACAACCTTACGGGGCGTTTCCATCCACGTAGAACCAGCAACCTTGTCGGCTGCTCCTCTAAAACACTATTCCTCTATGTCCCTATGTCAATAAAACTTGGCCATATCTACATTTGTACACACACAGTGTCAAAAATACATACTCATGTGACATATATGTGTATATATTTATCTTTATATATGACAATTGAGCAGAGTTAAATAAGCAAGATCATTCTGAATGGAAATCAGCTAACTAACCTTGGCATCTCTAAACTTTTGGACAAATGGACTCTCTCCTCTCTCAACCTTGCCCTTTGGTGGATCCACCGTGCTCACACGCTTGGGCAGTCCTCATGCGTTCATAGAACTATCTGCTCATATTACAGTACTGGAATTATTACAAATGTCCCTTTTCTATGTGTCTAATTTAAAAGTGCTCGTTAAGATTAAAAACCATGTTATGCGTTTACTTCTCTGAAAACTAAATTATTTAGAGAGTAAGCTAGGGAGTGTGAGGGCTGGCATCTGGATAAAACCTTCTTTAAAATAAACATTTTCCTTAAATCTGCAGTTCCGACCCTGATGTCACAGGTGACACCAGAAAAAAAAAACGTGCTTTTTGGAAGACTTAGGTGGGACTGTCCACATTTCATTCATTTTTGGTGCCGGCAGGACCCCATACCACATGGCTATCACTATTTCGAGTCTCTCTTATTGCATAAATAATGGAGAAAGGCACCTGCATCCTCCAGCTGGAGCCCACGTAGTTGGGACCGTGACCTCCACTGGACATACGCATTTGAGCAAGTGGTCCAGGGAGGTTTACAGGGAGTGTTCTCACTCAGGCGCTGATGTACAGGTAGGTGCCCAAATCCTGCCTTGTGAGGCATTCATGGTACGAACCACACAACCTGTTGAAGATAAGGCTTTATACCAAAGATTCCATCTTGTTTCTGTATAAAGGCCTTTATCTTTTGTACAGAGACTGTATTAAAAAAAAGTGGACATAATAAAAATGCCTATTTTTTTATAAAAATAGTGTTTAATGCTAGTAGAATGACCTCTTCTACCTGAGAGCCAGCGCGGGCTGGTTCCTTATCCCACTGGTGTCCATAGGGCCAGGACACTGCACACACCAAGCCATGTTTTTGCTGAATTTAAATCCTGCCATGGACCAAGGAGCCTTGGGGACATGTAACCCACTAACTGACGACTGGGGAGAACGACCTTTTCTTACTCTAGTTTAAGTATGATAGACTTTGCTACAAATTATTGGATAGATCAGGGAAGCTAATCTTCTGATTTCAACGTGACTTGAAATGAATACTAGAAGTCTTGCAAGGGGTTAATAAAGGTTGTGAGTCCCAAATTCCTAACCAAACAGAACTTTGCTGGGAAGGCCCCAGGGGTGGGGGAGCCCTGGCGGGAGTCAGCCAGTGGGTGCTGGGACGGATGCCCTGGGCGACCTGGCTGCCTGCGTTGCAGGCCTGCAGAATGGACGGGGACACACAGACATGGGGCCGCCTCCTCTCAGAGCGGGAGCAGCAGGCTTCTCTTTGGTAGACAGTTTGGAGAGAACAGAAAGCCTCTCTGCTGCTTTTTTTCAAGCAGGAAATAAAATAAATCGGCTCCCCTTTGCTGCCTCCTGGCTCTCTCTGGGGGACAGACAGCCAGGTTCGTGACGATGAACAGTCCAGGGAAGCCCAGCAGAGCCCCGGCTCACTTCCCGTGGCTCCTGGGGTTCCACGTCTGCTTCTCCCGGCTTCTGAGCACTCTTGGGATGATTTCCCTTTCTTCTCAACCCTTCAATCTCCTAAACCACCCCCTCCCCCCAATATTTTACTAGAAACTCGGAATTTTAGAGGTGAAGGACTTCATCTGGTGTCCAGCGCCTGCTCTCCGCATTCTACAGATGGGAAGATGAGGCCCAGAGAGGGCAGCGCCTTGCCCAGGGCCGCTCAGTGGTTCGGCGGCAGCGTGGGACTCAGGCCCTGGCCCCCGGATTCCCACCCCGCGCCGCCTGCCCCGCACACGGCCTGCCCCTCAGTCGGCCTTCGACAAGGACTTCCGGTGGGAGGGGGGCACGAGGTGGGGGGGCAGGCTGTTGGGTAGCTCGTAGCCGTCGAGCTTGATCTTGATGAGGTGCTTGGCCAGCGCGAACTCCTCCTCGTCCAGCATGCCGTCGCAATCGCAGTCGGCCAGCTTCCAGATCTTGCCCAGCACGCTGTTGGGCAGCTTGGAGGTCACCATCTCCTTCTTGGCGTTGACGCCCGATATCTTGCCGTTGACAGGAGACAGGGTGTAGAAGAGCTCATCGTAGACAGGCTTGTCCTTGGCCACAACCCACTCCTCCTCGTCGGCGCCCTCCTTGGCGCCCTCCCCGTAGCCCTGGTTGAAGGGGCCCTCGGCCGTGCCGTCGAAGGCGCCGCCCTGCACCAGCTGCGTGGGCATGCTCGTCTCCTCCTGGCTGATGAGGCTCATCAGGGACGAGATCTTGCTGCTCAGCATGTTGTCCACGGCCTCAATCAGCTTGGGCTTCAGCGAGTGGAATTTGGTGAAGTCATAGTTCTCAAGCTGTTCCTGGAAAAGGAGAAACCACAGGCTTGGTTAACGCCCTCCCTGTGGGAAGCAAATGGGGAGATGGATGGCCAAAGGAGACGAATGCTCCCTGAAAGCAGGCAGCACATACCTGGAACTTTCTGTTTGGTGAGGTTCTCACATCTGAACTTGCCAGACACGGGAGTGGAACTTTAAAGCTGGGCCCTTCATCTTTACCCGGCAGGGCAAACAGACGATGCTGTTATTCAGAAGTGGAGCCCTGAGCCTTTGGATGGTATAGGGGACAGAGCTGAAAGCTAAGCAGCCTGACATATCTCTGAAGAGGTGCCTCCAACAATCTTCTCAGTAGCAAACTCTATGGCCGTCAAAGCAGGCTGGGCTGGGCTGACACCCGCTGGGCAGCCTGTGCTCAGTACGGAGCGGTGGGGTAGTTACTGCAGGCTTGGCTGCTAAAGCGCATTCCAGTTTGTGTGTCCTTCATCCTCACTGATGGCCCGCAGTCACCTGCATGTCACCCCAACATCAGCACCAAACAGTGCTGCCAACACTTCGGGCGCCTGCTGCCGGCATCTCAGTTAGCCAAGGGAACTGAGAAGAGAAAGCCTGGGAGGAGGAGAGCAGGCAGCCTACACAAAAATCCGAGTGCTGCTGGGGTAAACAAGTCTAGATTCCCTTGGGTGCACGAACACCTACCCTATTTCCTCATGAATGAGCCTGAGCTCTGGGTACACACAGAGCCCCTGTGTCTGGTCAAGTGGACAAATGAAGGCGGTGCCCGCCCAAACTTTCTACCCGCCTGCAGGGGACATGGATTCAGACTGCAAACTTCTGGAAAACCGGCCAGGGGAAATGGCCACATATTTGCAGGGGTGGACAGGAAGCAGCAGCAGGAGCCATTCCCACCCTGAAGGGCACAGAGGAAATAAACTCTGCACTCATATCCCTGCGGTATCCGCCTCCTCAGCCCTGACCAGGGATGCGTGTGTAGGGGAGTCGGGACCAAGTTAAACCATGCCATCCCTGCCCTCCACCAGGGTGGCTCAGGGACTTTTTACTGGATTTCTGCACACTGCAGAACTGAAAGATTTACCCATCAACAATTGTATCCATTAAAGCCACCAAGCCCAGGATCCTGGAACTGCTCCCTCCCAAGAGACAAAAGTCAGTCCCAGCTCAGCCTCTGCTGGGGTCTCACTTGCCCGCTCACTTCCAACGTGTACCAGAAGAGCAGTTTTTGAATCCATTGGGAGGGTCCAAGCAGATGGGGATGGCTCTGCTGCCCTCTGTTGTTGAAACACTGCCAACTCATTGGCTGTAGGGGCCCAATTCTCCAAGGATAACTGAGTCAGCAATAAAGGTGGCTTTGCTAGTGCTCCCCTCATTCTGCAGTATGGACACGTCAGTGCAGCAAATCAGATTCCCTCCCCAAAGGCTGTAGGGTAGACACAGGCAGATGCACCAGTAGGTCATGGGCCTCCCCCAGCACTGGGCAAAAGCCTGCTAAATACAGTCAGCTCTTTGCTACAGCAAAGAGTCATCCTGTCCAGCTTGGTCCGTGAGAGCACACGGAGAACAGAGAATTAAAGCTGGCTGCTGCATGATCCTGAGATGTGCAAAGATCATAATTAAGTCAGTTCCTAGCTTCTGCCCATGCCGCTGTCCCAGACGCAGTCCATGAGAGGTTGAATGCCTGTATTGGGGAGGATGTCAGATGCTCAGTAGACTCAGGGATGACAGAGGTCTCGACCCACACTGGGAAGCCCCAAAGCTTCCTGGGTGACTAGCCCGAAGTATCAGGCAACAGTAAGCATGCCTTTGGGACTCCAGGCCTGCCTTGTTCCCTGGAGATTCCCTGAAAGGACTGGTGTGGTGGGATCAAGACCCGGCCACCTTCCCGAGGAATAATCCTTATCCAGCTTCTAGGAGTTTGCTCTGGAAACCGCTTATCTATAAGCCCGGTGGGAGTCAGAGCCGGGTTAGGGTCTGAGAAACTCACTACCCTAGAGCCTGCTAGGATATAAACCGACGCTAACTTATTAACTCATTCAACATGTATTCATCGAGCGCCTGCCACACTCCAGGAGCTGGGGATATAGCTGGGAACGGGACATGGTCACTGGCTTCTTGGAATTACAGCCTGATATGGGAGAGACACACCGAATAAATTCATTACACTGAAGCACAACAGCACTTACGTCATAACAAGGAGCACATGTCCCAACAAGGGACTTTGCTGCCAAATTTTCTCTGCTGGTCACAGTCATAGCAGCCAAGACTGTAACTCAGAATGGACTTCTGTAAGGGCAAGGAATTTTATTTTTGCTGTTTGTTCATGGGTTTATTCCAGGGACTGAAAATAGTGCCTGCCAATAGCAGACTTAATTAGTATTCTTAGGTGAATGAATACATGAACACAGGTGAATGGAGTGTCTGTCAGGTGTGACTCCTGCTCCTGGAAGTCCCAGGGCTCACAGGTGTCCACTATAGGTTCAAAGGCACTTGGTGTGGCCCTGACCACAGGGCTCTCAGTGAAGGTTCGGGCTCTTTGGTATCGTCCAGCTATATGGGCCATGGCCGCTCCCAAGACCCAAGGTGAGGGACTGCCCCACTGGACAGCTCTGAGGGGCCTGAATGCCCTCAGACTACCCAGGCCCAGGCTAGCGTGGTCAGGAGCAGCTCTGCCTAGAGTTTTTTCCCTTCATACAGGAGCTCCCTGAGGACGGGCAGGGGAGGCCTCTCAGGGAGGCTCCAGGTCTGGGGAGCAGCATCTTGTGGGTGGGGCATCAC